AAGAGCAGTGCTTCGCTGAATCTACCACCGAATCGGAAACCCGACCCACTGAGAAGATCCGTCGGAAAACTCAGTGGGCTGTGGGTAGTTAATAAGGATACTGAACTATTGAAATCCTTAATAAAGTGCTCTTAAATTATAATCATGGAGTATGGCACATTGCTATTCCTACTGCAAACTTTTGCCGGTACCGTTATAATCTAAGTACAACTTTTGCGGGCTGACTTTGATCTGATATCTCATTAGGGGTGATATTACGTTTGCCACATCCATAGATTTCAGGGATAGTTAAAGAGTACTGTGATCTAGTGATGGCCTTAGGAGTACAATGCCAGCTTTAATATCCTGTTTGCAAGTAAACTGAGTGCAAAAAATACTATTAAAATAAAAACGTGATTCACATATTGAATACTGTAAACATCTGAAATGTTTATTATTCAGTCAGGAGAGCACAAGCTAGGCGTGTTTCATTAGAATGTTTGCGCAAACAATTATTACGTAGACACGATTCACGACGACGTCATGGAAACATTTTTATCCTTAACTATAAGGTTGTCGAGTAATAAAAGTGGATACGAGGCATTCATAATTTTAAAGAGCTTTACTGTTGTATTAAATATTCTATTTCTCTATATCTGACTATATCATTACTCACAATACTCATGACGGTTTAACCAGTCCCGGATTAACCATATGGCAAGAGTTGCAATTGCTACGGGCCCCGCATATTTAAACCCACTCATCTCTGCCCGAGCTCAATTTTTTGAGTGACTTATTAAGAAAAAAGAAAAATTTCTCAATTTGCCCACATGAAATCTAGAAAAGTTACTTTGTAGAAGTTTAAAAAATAATAAAAGAAACGAATACTTAAATAAATATAAAACAAACATTATTCTAAAGTACACCATTGATAAAATATAACATTAGCTATTCCTAAAAAAATAATATACTTTGCATTAAATATCAACTTTGAAATATGTATTGAAAAAAATAATTTGTGTAGTATCATCAGTTTTCAATTGTTGGTTTCTTATCAAAATTATTCTATATAGCCAGAAAATCTCATCTCTGGCTTTTTGTACTTATCAGAGCCTAACAGTGCCTATATAGTAATTTACTAAATACCCACAAAATCGTAACCTATAGATGGCAAATAAACGTATAGACTATTGATATGTTTTTTTACCACTTTATACTTAAGAACCCATAGTAGATCAAGGGTTCTTTGAAATAATTTGCTAGGGGCCCCGCGCTTGCTTAATCCGGCACTGGGTTTAATTAAGTTAACATTAACTAACTATCAACCACAAAATAACTCATTGGTAGTTTAGCTGCCACTGACATTTGTAGTCGTCGTGGCCTAAAGGATAAGACGTCCGGTGCATTCGTGTTAAGCGATGCACCGGTGTTCGAATCCCGCAGGCGAGTACCGATTTTTCTAATGAAATACGTACTCAACAAATGTTCACGATTAACTTTCACGGTGAAGGAATAACATCGTATAATAAAAATCAAACCCGCAAAATTATAATTTGCGTAATTACTGGTGGTAGGATATTTTGTGAGTCCGTGCGAGTAGGTGCCACCACCCTGCCTATTTTTGCCGTGAAGCAGTAATGCGTTTCGGTTTGAAGGGTGGGGCAGCCGTTGTAACTATACCTGAGACCTTAGAACTTATATCTCAGGGCGGGTGACGCATTTACGTCATAGATGTCTATGGGCTCCAGTAACCACTTAACAACCAGGTGGGCTGTAAGCTCGTCCACCCGTCTAATATTAATAATAACTACGATTTATGCTGCAGCTTTTTTTGAGTTACATTTTATGTAGCTACAACAAAGAACATAGAATAACAGTATAAATATGAATACTCGGTCACCATTATGAAAAGAATATGCAGTGTGCAGTATGAGATTGTTATTAAAGATTCTGGTTGTTTAAAAATGTTTATTGTTAAGTAATTAATAAAATAGATGAAATGCTTATGTTATGAATGCACTCAAAGCGGATTTTGATCGTGCCCTAACAATTCGTGGAAATAAAGTTAACGCTTTTTTTTTATTGCTTAGATGAGTGGACGAGCTCACAGCCCACCTGGGGTTAAGTGGTTACTAGAACCCATAGACATTCACAACGTAAATGCGCCACCCACCTTGAGATATAAGTTCTAAGGTCTCAAGTATAGTTACAACGGCTGCCCCACCCTTCAAACCGAAACGCATTACTGCTTCACGGCAGAAATAGACAGGGTGGTGGTACCCACCCGCGCGGACTCACAAGAGGTCCTACCACCAGTAAAAAATACTAATACGCATCACACTAATGATGCTGACAGAGGTGTTCTTTAATAAATTACCGAAAAGATTCGAACAGAATATTCATTAAGACCAGAACGTAGATTAATAACATAGATCTTTGGTGTTTTTTAAATTATAACTACAATATGTCCGAATCATATTGAGACTAGAATGCTTGAGTTTGCCATGGCAGTTGACATGCGGCACCTGACCGACGGGTCGTCGAGGCGATAGTCGACGACCAACGACGTCGGTCTCCGCCGTACGGCGGCCCTGCCAGGCTGCCCGGGCGGTGCCGCTGGTGTTCCGGGATGCCCCGCTGGGCCAGAACCAGCCTGCCGGGTCGGAACGCGATACACCGCCGACCGGGTTGCTCTCCCACAGTATGTTCGGCGACGACAGCGATGACGAAAATGCGGACCGCATCGCAGTCCGCAGCCGCCGACGCGTCGTCCCGTCCTCCTGGTGCCAGCGCGCTAGAGTGACGGTAGCGTGCGGCGCAGTCTCAACCCCCTTAGGTCGCCCCGTGACCATCACCGGGAGGAGACTGCCTCCTCATAGGGGCCGGAGCTGGACAAACGCCCTCCTCTGACCCCCGGCTCGACGGCGGCGGCACGGCGCCGAGAGGGAGGAAGAGTTCTCCCTCTCCCGTTCCGCCACCTCCTTCTGCGAGATGGTGGACTCTCAGAAGTCGAGCATAGCCTGCCAGGACTCATCACTACCGAGCATCGCAGCCACGACGGTCGGAAGCGACAAGTTCGGTCCTATTTTTGCAACGAGGACGCGGCGCTGCAGTACGCGAGCGTGTGCTCCGCCGTGTCTTGGTTGCAGCCACTGCAGTGGTGGCACTTCGGCGTAGGCTCCCTCCGGGCGACGAGGTGCAGGTAGCGACCGAAACAGCCGTGTCCCGTGAGCACCTGCGTCGCTCGGAAGGTGAGACGTCCTCGGTCGCGATTCACCCAGTCCGAGAGGACCGGGCGGATCGCCTCGACTGTCCGTCGTCCGTCCACCGCGCGTCCACGTCGCGGGGTCCACCAGGCGGCGAGACCACGCCTCGAGCACGGCACGCCGAGATTTAAGCTTCCGCGCTCGAACTTCGCCGGGACGCGGCTCCCCCCTGGAGAGGAGATCACATCGCCACGCGTAATCCGCAGCGAGCGCCTCCGCTTCCAGGTCCCAGGGAGGCGTCCCGGCGAGCACGCACGCCGCCTCGAAGGAAACAGTGCGGTACCCACGAACCGCCCTGACCGCAATCACGCGCTCCGGAGGTCGCAACGCTGCGACGTTGTCGCGGGTCAGGGCGTGGCACCATACGGGAGCCCCGTACAGTGCCATTGACCGCACTACCGCCGTGTAGAGCCTGCCCACCACCATGTCGGGACCCCCGACGTTCGGCAACAGCCTACTTAGCGAGCCGGCGACTGCCATCAGTCGGGGACCCAATCTTTCGAAGTGAGCACGGAAGCTCCAACGACCGTCCAGTACGAGACCGAGGTACCGCAACCCGGTCGCCTCGATCTCGACGCGAACGCCTCCAATCAAGAGGTGGGCCCCCTGAGGCGGCGCTGGGCGCCTGGGATTTATCGAACGCCACCTCTAGACCCAGCCTTCGGATCCTGCCGACGACGAAGGCCACCCCCGCACAGGGAAGACGGGCAGACTCGCGAAAGTCCCTACCCCGGGCCACGACCAAGGTGTCGTCCTTGTAATAAGCTAACCTAAGCTGAAGCTACCTTGAGAGGCTATTTCAGCGTAACCTTAATTAGTAGCTGAGCTCACAGGGCTCAAACCGGAGTGTGCACTGAGAAGATCCGGCGAGAAAATCAGTGGGCTGTGTCTATGGGTTAATTCGATCCTCTAGCCCTTCGTTGCAAGCGACCAGGCTATACAATAATTACATAGGTAACAACACTAGTTTAGTGATGAAAAAAATTTTTTTTTTTATAATTACATAACTATTAAAATATGTTTTTATTTCATCACTAAACTAGTGTTGTTATTGTCAGTTATGTAATCATTACTATTAAAATTTATTTTTATTTTATCACTAAAAGTAGTGTTGTTACTTATGTAATTATTTTATAGCCTGGTAAGGCTACACCACAATTTGTCGAGTTTTTCATCTAAATGTTTGTTTACGGAACGGGTTTTTTGTTATAGAAATATTCTGAAGAAATGTAAGAGTAGTCAAAGTACATTATTTTTATAGCTGAGATTAAAACAGTTAAGATTCATTGGACAATAAAAACAAATTTCAGTTTCTTTTTTTAGGGTATGCAGACTTTTTAATTAGAAATGTGACATCACTAAATGTTAAGAAGTAAGAAGAATGTTTAAATTTATAATTATTCCTGCAGTTTAAATGTAGAATTTTTAAATGTTATAATATTGTTTCTCAAATGGCGAATTCTCGGTATTCTTGGTCCCAGACAAAACCCAAAAACAAATATTAAAAAAAAAAATGTACTATAATTAACATTCAGTATTTGAGTCGCTGTTGATTTTTGCGACCTAACGACTAAAAGCGCAAAGTGACTGTCAGAAGATTAAAATTAAAATAAATCTTGGAAACTTAACTAGATTCTATAAAATAAAAAAAACGTTCCCGTAAGCTGTGGGCTTTTTTTAATTAACTTTTTTAGATTTTTTTTTTTTATTTTTCTTACTAAGCACCTTAACAGTAATATTAAATAAAATAATTACCGATTATTCTCCTCCGAAAGTGAATCGTTTTTCGGCTGCAAATAATATTCGGAGCCTTGATGCACCCACTGGCCGCCAAAGGGGTTGTTCCGCCCTTCATTATTAAATAAACAAAAGTATATTTTACCATTAAACAGGGGCACACTAATGTTTAGTTTTGAATAAAATTGCGTTACTTCAACTGCCCTTAATTCGTAATTGGGATGGATGACGTCACAGCTACCACCCCTAGCACCCTCCACAGAGGTCAACCTCCATGAATAATGTCCAATAAATTCACCACCGCGCACATTTAATAAATATTTACATATTTTTTCGTCACAGTTTATACTATCAATTTTCATTGAAAATATCCATTGTTCGATACGATTATTAACGGCACTGTTCACGTTAGTAATTAAATATATTAATAAACCACAAGTCCGCAATAATAGAGACACTGAAGCCATGTTTACAGCGTGATAAATACACAATAAAGACCGCTGTTCAGTCGCGATTCACAACGACATTATTTGTTTGACAGTTCGGCGGCAATTGTTGCCGGAACTGCGGAAAACTGTTTCTGTCATATCCGGTGAAGACAAGAAATGTCCACAGACGAATTCTTTTAAATTATTTGAATTTAAACAATAATCAAAATTCTTAATAAATTAAGTATATTTTTTTACGATTCTATTATGTTTAATTAGTATTTTCCTAATAGTTAAACAAAAATAAAAAATTAAACTTTTCTTAAATTGTTTGTTGGTCACCCTAAAAATTGGATACACCGACTAAATTATTTATCAATGCCATCACTTTTTTGAACACTTTCAATAACGAATATAATTAAAAATGTAGGCAAAGATTCATCAGGCATCTCCTCAAGCGAATGTAAGTCTTTTTAAATGCGATTGTTTGCCCGTCGCAACTACGATTACATAAAATAAGTACTCTTTCTGGGATTAATTAAAAAAAATAAAAAACAATAGTGTTAGTTGTGTACCTACCATCACTAGTTAAAGCGAACTGACAGGCATCAGAATAATATTCAACCACCCAGCTTTTAAAGCACTTTTAGTTCATTTACGTCAGTTTTTGACGGGAACGCGTTATAGCCATACGTAGTTTTTTTTTTGGTTTAGATAGGTGGACGATCTCACAGCCCGCCTGGTGTTAATGGTTACTGGAGCCCATAGACATCTACAACGTAAATGCGCCACCCACCTTGAGACATACGTTCTAAGGTCTCAAGTTACAACGGCTGTTCTACCCTTCCAACCGAAACGCGTTACTGCTTTACGGCAGAAATAGGCAGGGTGGTGGTATCTACCCGTACGGACTCACAAAAGCTCCTACCACCAGTAAAAAATTATGTAGTTAAAGCCAAAGTGCAAATTTCTCGCATTCCTGGACTAACTGGCTATTCGGCGAGGTTCGAGAAAACATGTATAGATATGCGTATTTAGTTTTACAAACAAAATAGGTTTGCTTACATGCTATCTCTATAGAGAATTTCGTATCGTTTGTATGTTCAACGTACAATGAATATAAGTATTAGTTTCTACTTCTACGTTTTAAAAAGTATGTAACAATATCAGTAATTTTTATTGAATGACTTAAAACATCTTGTCGCCTTAAAAAGCACTTTTTTCTTTACCTATCTGTCAGTATCTTCATGACAACCTCCAATCAAAATGGATACGTAAGCATCAGAAGACAGCGTCAGAACGCATCTTCGATGATAACCCTCTTATCGTGGCCGATATATTCGACCGGGATAAAGCAAAGCCGCCGTCCCCGAAAACAGGTCTTTTATAACCTACACGCTACAACGCGAGACCTACTACAACGCGAAACCTCATACAACGTGGGACCACATGCAACGCGGGACCTCATAAAACGCGGGCTTCATACAACGCGGACCTCATACAACGCGAACTTCTTACATTGCGGGACCTCATACAACGCGAGACCTCATACAACGTGAGACCTCATCCAACGCGAGACCTCATCCAACGAGAGACCTCATCCAACACGAGACCTCATACAAAACGGGACCTCATACAGCGCGGACCTCATACAACGCGAGACCTACTACAAAGCGGGACCTCATACAACGCGAGACCTCACACAATGCGTGACTTCATACAACGCGAGACCTCATACAACGCGGGACCTCATACAACGCGGGACCTCATACAACGCGGAACCTCATACAACGTGAGACCTCACACAACGAGAGACCTCATCCAACGCGAGACCTCATCCAACGAGAGACTTCATACAACGCGAGACCTCATCCAACGCGAAACCTCATCCAACGAGCGTTCATTTTCGACATTAAAGCGCATAAAAAATGAGTTAAGGAACACTGAGTCAAGAACGGCTGAATTATCTCGCTTTGATGAATATAGAATATGATTTGCTCAAAGAAATTGATACGAATAGTATCATTTCTCAATTTGCCCATATGAAATCTATAAAAGTTACTTTGTAGAAGTTTAAAAAATAATAAAAGAAACAAATAAATAAATATAAAACATGAACATTATTTAAAGTACACTATCGATAAAATGTAACATTAGCTATTCCTAAAAAAATAATATACTTTGCATTAAATATCAACTTTGAAATATGTATTGAAAAAAATAATTTGTGTAGTATCATCAGTTTTCGATTGTTAGTTTCTTATCAAAATTATTCTATATAGCCAGAAAATCTCATCTCTGGCTTTTTCTACTTGTCAGAGCCTAACAGAGCCTATAGTAATTTACTAAATACCCACAAAATTGTAACCTATAGATGGCAAATAGGTAAACGTATAGACTATTGATTTTTTTTTTACCACTTTATACTTAAGAACCCATAGTAGATCAAGGGCTCTTTGAAATAATTTGCTACGGGCCCCGCGCTTGCTTAATCCGGCACTGATAATGGCTCTCTTACATAACTCAGGATCGTAATTTGATATTATGTTAATGTGGGCTGAATTAGCGAACATTACACTATATAAGTCGTGACCGCACGTGTACAAATTTGTTGTTATTATTGTTTTAGTCCTAGGGTGCCCCGCTGGTACATAGGGCCCTCACAAGTTGCCTCCACTTGACCCTGTTTATCTGTCTTGCAAGTAGTGTCACCTTATTACGAAGAGACAATTTACTTCGCTTACAGAATCTAATAAAGTAATGTAAATAAATAAAAAGTTATTTTTAAATTATTTTCAAAATGTTTGGCATTTTCATGACACTATATATGGTTCGATGGTTTATTTTAGAGATTTTTAGTTTTCACTCTCATTTCACGTGGTTGACTGATATTTTCTTTAAAAAAGTAATACTCTCTTACTAATAATCTTATCTAGGATTTGACTGAATTGAATTTCAGCTGTGTATCCGAACTTGACATTGTCGTATCAAACTCACCACTTTCTCACGAAATTTGACAATGACTAATTACAATGAAATGACAGATCCTGCATCTTGTTTTAGTGAACCGTGTTAAATAGAGACAAAATAACAGACTTTCGGTAATCGAAACGATTTTTCTTGAGAAACTGAGAAACAATTCGTGTTTCGGTGGTACTCCAAAAAATTAGGGAGTTCGTCGACCACTTGACTTAGCAAATGTGTGTGGGCAAAAGGGAAGACAACGAAGGCTGCACTAGTATTAAAACNGACAGATCCTGCATCTTGTTTTAGTGAACCGTGTTAAATAGAGACAAAATAACAGACTTTCGGTAATCGAAACGATTTTTCTTGAGAAACTGAGAAACAATTCGTGTTTCGGTGGTACTCCAAAAAATTAGGGAGTTCGTCGACCACTTGACTTAGCAAATGTGTGTGGGCAAAAGGGAAGACAACGAAGGCTGCACTAGTATTAAAACTCTGGCCTTAGATTCACGATTAATTAACATAAAACCCAATCACCAATTATAATGAGATCAAAAAATAATTATAGATAAATAAAAACTTGATTATAAGTTACGAATCGCGTTACAAAAGTGATCCTTTGTTGAAATGCAAAAGATTTAGTTGTGTTTGTATTTTATGAAAAATGGAAATTAGGGAGGCTGGTGATGGAGCTGCTTCAGGGGAATACGTCAGGGTGCCCTCGAAGAAGTACTCCTGGGCGGAGGTACGTCAGGCCGTCCACGATCTGCGCAAAGAACTTTCATCTCTATCGACTATGCTGCCCATCGCGATTTCTTTTCGGAAATTAAGCAACGGGAAAACCAGGATATACTTCCTTAGAACACCGCAAAACGGATGGGAAATCACTTTGCTATACACCGATGTAACTGCAACAACACAAGCTAATAATACAAGGTAAAAAAAAAACATTTTCGTCTCATCCATCAATAAGCAGAGAACAGCTGATTAAAAATAATACAAGGTAAAAAAAAACATTTTCGTCTCATCCATCATTATGCAGAGAACAGCTGATTAAAAATAATACAAGGTAAAAAAAAAACATTTTCGTCTCATCCATCACTAAGCAGAGAACAGCTGATTAAATTATAAACACAAATCAGTTTTACATTTTTTTTCAGTAAAGTAGATGTTTGGACAAGCTAATTAGGTTGTAAGTTACTGATTATCAGAACCCATAGATTTCACATTGCAAGTACATACTAATCTTCAGGCAGAATTACATTCAAGTTTTGATTGTTTTCATAGTGCATAGTTATGGCATTGAAATTTTTTTTTTTTCAATTTCCGTTTTCCTGTCTCTGTCTAGCCAAATTTTATAGGAACCTATTATTGCAGCTTTAGATGTTAATTATAGAATTTATGGAAGGTCTCGAAAAGCTAAGATATTTTAGTAAGTTTTAGAGAGATTTCTCTACCATAGCTCTCGCTTACTATGTCAGAATATAAACTAACTAAAGTGGTAATATTTATAACGGTATCTAAGGATTTTTGAGTGTCAACAAAGAAGCATGAAATCTGTCTTTAGCTTATACAGTATTTTTTTATTTGTTGTTGCATCAGTATTAACAATTTACAACGTACAATGAATATAAGTATTAGTTTCTACTTGTACATTTTAGAAAGTATTAATATCAGTAATTTTTATTGAATAACTTAAAACATCTTGTCGGCTTATACGAACATAATTCTGCAACGAATATAATTCAACTACACATTCATTATTCTAAAATTTCAGGTTAGAATGGAAGCCCCTAATAGAATCAAATGTAGCCCTCGGAGTGACGTCAGGGAAGTGGTCTCGGGAGGAACAGCTCCTGTGGGAACGTCAGCGTGTAGCAGCGTGGGGAATAGCCTCATATGAATTACATCAAAGGACTGGCCGGGTGCTCTTCCCCTGTGCTTCATCTCTGTTCGTTGCTGAGGAACGTCCGAATCAAGTTGGTTTTTATTTTATTTTTATTATTGCTTAGGTGTCTCGACGACGAGCTCACAGCCCACCTAGTGTTAAGTGGCTACTGGAGCCCATAGACATCTACAACGTAAATGCGCCACCCACCTTGAGATATAAGTTCTAAGTTCTCAGTATATTTACAACGGCTGCCCCACCCTTCAAACCGAAACACATTACTGCTTCACGGCAGAAATAGGCAGGGTGGTGGTACCTACCCTCGCGGACCCACAAGAGGTCCTACCATCAGTAAAGTAAGGTTTGAAAGTTATATCAGCTCGTGGCAGTAAACTTTTAGTAGTTCCGTTTATCGACTGTAAAACTTTGTGTTGAGACTACCGTTTCAGTTGAGATACGAGGTGGAAATCGTTTTATTGTATAACTGAATCTACATCTGCTACCTGATTGGTTTAAAATATATGACCTCATGAATTTAGTGGAGGTTATGATGACATCATTTTAAAAGACATTAATAATTTATTTCTATTCAGCTGATTAAAAGTCAGAAGTAAAAACGTACCTTCGATTAATCCTTTGCTTTTTAGTTTATAATTATTTTTTTTATCAATAGTATTCAATTTGCAGTCCTATTCTGTCAACTTAGCATTGTCCATAACATCAATAAAACTCTAGATTTAAGATACGATAACTTTATTATCATTATTCGTTGCAATAGCAACAATAAGTATGATAGTACCTTTTAATAAATATTGCACTGTCGCCGTTAAAAGGGGCTTAAACCCTAAACATATAAAAATAGACATGACAGTATAGCAGCCAAACAACACAAGCTATTGAGAGATGCCTGAACCTCACTGACAATATTTTCGAGATAAGTTTGTGTATATATTTTTTATTTTTTTATTGCGTTGATGGTTGGACGAGTTGGACGACCAGGTGGGCTGGTGGTTAAGTGGTTACCGGAGCCCATAGACATCTACACCTTGAGATATAAGTTATAAGGTCTCAGTATAGTTACAACGGCTGCCCCGCCCTTGAAACCAAAACGCATAACTGCTTCACGGCAGAAATAGGCACGGTGGTGGTACCTACCCGTGCGGACTCACAAGAGGTCCGACCACCAGTAAAATATACAAGTATATAGAAGTTTTGAGCAATAACAGTAGGACTACTGACGAATGTCACCGGCCCATTGGAAGGTTTTTGTTATTGCTCCGAAGACAAAATCGACTTATCCATGTCAGTACTGTCGTTTTAATGAAGTTTTCTTTCAGCTGCCCCCATTGGTCCCTCGGTCGCTCAATACGGGTGGGGGCGCGCCTCTAACGCCCGCAATGTGTCCTCGCTCACCGTCGCTTGTGGCGCACGCGGCCAGAGGTGACATCTGGTTAGCGGCTGGAGCCCTACGCCGTCCAACTCGACTCACATACGCTTGTAAAGGACACGAACCTGAGCGGTGAGCGGTATTTTATATCTACTAGTAGTCCCGCAGTAGTCAAAATTCGACAATAATTAATTGAATTTATAAGTTTGAACATTATTATGCTTCTATTGTCAAAGACTATTTATTATACTTCATTAATCACAGATTTCGCCAAGACTACCTACACTTTATACAAATATTAATAAAGATAAACAATATTTTTAATTTAATCTCAATTTGAGCACAGACTATAAGCAATAAAAAGTTTGACAATAAACAAATAGTATACATGTGTGTGTATGTCAAAAAAATGGTAGTATGTTTGATGTTTTTTTTATTGATTTAATGTATTTTATACGCATAATTAAAAAAAATATTAACAGTAGTCAAAATATTAATAGTTTTTGCTTCACGTATTTATAATATATAAATGACAATTTAATGCTTAATGTCAAATTAGCTTGAATTAAGAAATGTTTTTCAATATCATTATTTTCATTCAGAGGGTAGTATGAAACTAGTTAGTACATATGGAACTTTTATTGCTTAGATCAGGGGTTCTCAAAATATTTTGTGTACCGCCAACTGTGAAAATAAATTATTTTTTAGCGCCCCTATTTTTTTCACCTACTTAAAACCACTATAGCGAGAGCTCAGTGGGTGTCTAAGAGTCCTCCTGATCCGAAATTACAAATCGCCTCCCAAGCCTCTACACAGCGCCCCCTTTTTTTGTGGGCCTCTTACCGCCCCCCCCCAAGCCTATAGCGCCCACAAGGGGGCGTTATCGCCCACTTTGGGAAAGGCTGGCATAGATGGATGGATAAGCTTACGGTTCAGCTGGTGTTAAGTGGTTACTGGAGCCCTTTTAACGTAAATACCACTTGAGAGATGAGTTCTAAGATCTCAGTTTTTACAGTACATCGGCTGTCCCACCCTTCAACCTGAAACGTATTAATGCTTCAACGCAGGAATAGGCTTTAGAAATAGTCTGCCCTTGAAAAGCCAAATTAAATATTCAGTTACATCCGGCAGGTTATCAGATGACCCGTGTCAAGCCGGTGTACCCTGCTACGTCACACAGGAAGAGTTCTCAAGATACACTGGATTCTGGTGGCAACCTAAATCTGACGGTAAGCTATCCACTTTGCTTATCATCATCATTCTCCTGCCCTTCTCCCAGTTACTTGGGGTCGGCCCAGCATGACTGCTCCTTCCATACTCCTCTATCATATACCATTTCTCCGCTTACTCCCCTCTTACACATGTCGTCTTTCACGCAATTCATCAATTTCTTTTTAGGTCTACCTTTTCCTCTATATCCTTCCACATTCGTAGTTAACACTCTCACCAATCTCATTTTCATTTCGTCTCATCACATGTCCATACCATCCCAACCGCGCACTTCTCAGCTTCTCTGTCACAGGTGCCGCTTTCAGACTTCTTCTGAGATATTCATTCCGTATTCTATCCATTCTCGTTACTCCACACTAGAGATGAAATGGATATCCGGTAACTATCCGCTATCCGGCCTATCCGGCCATGTTTTCACTATCCGGCCTATCTGGCCATGTTTTCACTATCCGGCCGGATTTCGGATAGTAAAACTTAAGAAAATCTCATTGTTATACAAAAGGCAAATAATACCACAATAGGCTATGGACAACTTTTATTTTTATAATCTCGCGTCAAAAGTGATTGTTTTATCAATTAGTTTGTTTAATCCTCAAAATTAACCAGTGGCAAATTGTGGTGAATGAATACCAAATCATCGTCGTCGTCGCGATCTCAGATTACGTGCGACAACACCCGAACGCGCACGAATATTTCCGAAAGTTGATTTGAAAATTTGATTTAATTTGTAAAAAAAGGGCCGAATATTCGGTAGCTGAATATCCGGCGCTCCGGCTTCGCAGCTTGCCGAATATTCGGTATACGGTATCCGGCCAAACCACTATCCGTTTCATCTCTACTCCACACACCCATCGCAACATTCGCATCTCTGCTGCATGCAATCGCCTTTCATCTTCTCATAAAAAAATTGCCAAAGCTTAAAGCAACATGAGAGTGCATTTTGCTTATATTTTATTAAACTAGTAACCTTGAGGGGTTATTTTGGTTTCATCGAGCTGGTGGACGAGCTGGTGGGGCATAAGGCTTAGTCTGAGCGAGTTGAGTAACACTAACTAGCCCTAGCAGAGTATTGCCCCGTCCAGCTATGCATCTAGCTACACCTCCATAGGGTCGGTCCGCCTACTCGCCAAGGAGGTTGCGCGTGGGTTGGGTAATAACCCACGTGCCACTACGGGAGTTCCGCCCCTGGCGATACCTCTGGTGGCTTGGCGGTGTTTTCGCTATGATCTGCCCGGACATAAGGCGTCCTAATACACTACCGCCTCGTCACATTGCGTGTTGTGACCACTAGCTTGAAGGCTCAGTTTGTCATTCCACCCCCTCCTCCAAAAAGAGGAGGCGTGGCAGAAAAACAAAGTGGAATACGGAAGAGGGACAAATTGGACGAAAGACGAGGGAGCGATAATCTTGACACCCCAATAATGGGTCACGTCAACCGCTACCCCTGAGCGAACGTGAATCAATTCGCCACGGCATGGGATCTTCTCGCCCGCACCATAGTGTAGTGGATAAGGTATCCGGGTACGTCGTAGCTAAGGTCTACGTAATCGTTATGATCAGACTGCACCTCTCTCTGGACAGGAGTCTGGCCGAGTTTCAACGCTTCCTGGGTGGGCTCGAAGCGTTTGTTCATCTGGATAGTGGATACTGATGGATGTATCTGGATACTGGCGGGGGATACCCCCTGCTCAAACTTTTCCGGCGATTTTCTGTCGGAATACGCGATCGTGACCGGCCTCAGAACAGAGGTCTTTTTTTTTTTTGGTCAGGAGGAAATCGCCGGACTTCCGCCCTCCACTGGGGACGGAGGGCGGACCATGTCAGAGTCGAACTGACTAAAACCTCCTGTCGCTCAACAACCAACGTCCAAACCTCGCATGAGACAGAACTCATGAAAAGGCAAAGGGGGGAAAGTGAAGCGCTTAGGGCGGAGCACATCTCTCCCATTACCCTCCCCCTCGGGAGAGGTCCGGTATAGAATATTGATAATCAATAAATTTTGTTTTTAACACGTCAACTGCCGTGTAGGTCACCGGTGACCTACGCGGCGCACTCGAGTAATTATGTCGATATTTCTCTTCGATATTCTTACTAAGATGCTTGAATATCTAGTTGTCTCTAGGAAAAACGAATCCGAAGATACTGAGAACGAATTTATTTCTAAGAGACCCAAAAGACTAAAACATACATTAAGATCAAACTAGTGGTCCCGCGGTAGTCGAAATTCGACTATAATTAATTGAAATTATAAGTTTGTATACACTATTATGATTCAATTTTCGAATACTATTGTACTTATATAATCACAAATTTCGCCAAGACTACAGTATAAAAAAATATTAATAAAGACAAACAATATTTAATCTATTCTCAATTTGACCACACACGTCAAGAACAAAAGTTTGACAATAAATAAATAGTATACATGCGTGTGTGCGTCAAATATATGGTAGTGTGTGTAATTTATTTATTTATTGATTTAATGTATTTTTATTCTGCACTCCTTCTCTATATTCTCTATAAGTGTGGAAAATTTCATACTCTTCCGTCCGCGCAATTTTCGTAAAAAGGGATACAAAGTTTTTCCTTTACGTATTAGTATATAGATTAAGGCGAAGTTAGGTATTAATCCAGGCGCCTTAGTAACAGTAATCGACAGAATTACTTCAGTGCGCCGTGTAGGGCACCGGTGACCTACACGAGAGACAACGGGTTAATTATAGATATTGTTTTTTGAAGTGAAAACTTCTTTAGAATCGTTGTGATTTCAAACCGGATGCAACGGATAAAACGACAGGTAAGAGACACAAATACAAAAATGTGTAGGATGAAGCCAGCAAAGAATGAGACAGAAATATACATACTATTTAATACAGCGCCATCTGTGAATTTTTTTAATACTAACGTGTGTATGAAAGCTCTTGTAGTGAATTTTAATTTAGGATTATACGTGAAATTAAAATATCGATTCACAGAGGGCGCTACCTTACAATTATTTACTAATGACAAAATTTGACATATACTTAAGACGTTTAGGATAATTGTATTTTAATTTTGGAAGGTTTCAATTCTACCACGTGTGAATTGCACACATGTTTTTTTTAACTAGCGACCCGCCCTCGCTTCCCTTCGGAAACTGTAATTTATTATTGATTTCTCCACTATTTAATGAATGTTATTATACATATAAACCTTCCTATTCAATCACTCTATCTATTAAAAAAAACCACATCAAAATCCGTTGCGTAGTTTTAAAGATTTAAGCATACATAGGGACAGAGAAAGCGACTTTGTTTTATACTATGTAGTGATAAAGATGCGTCACTTCTAAGTAAAGTCGATGACCGCGCTCACCCTTTCTCCCTTCTTTATGACAACAATACAAAAATTGCTTCTATGCGATTTTGTGTTTTATTTTATCTAATCAAATACGTATTATCGATTTAATGTAAATATATAAAAATATAAAGATAGTGTTGTTTGATCGTATCGTGTTGCAGACGATGTATACAGAATAGTATACGAGGAAGTGGACGAGAGCGACGTGAAGATCTTCAGCTTTCCATCGTCGCAGACCAGCAGCGGGGAGATCGAGGAGTTCAGGTAATCTGGAGTCTGGAGTAGGATCGTTTGGAACCTCTGGGTCTGCGAAGGAACTTCGGTTCCCTCTGTATTTTGTACCGTATGTTCCATGGGGAGTGCTCTGAGGAATTGTTTGAGATGATCCCTTCATCTCCTTTTTATCATCGCACTTCCCGCCATCGGAGCAGAATTCATCCATATTATCTGGAACCGCTACGTTCATCGACAGCGCGTTTCCAGAGGTATTTTTTGCTACGTACCATCCGGCTATGAATGAGCTCGCTCCCCTCCACGGTATTTCCCGAGCGCTATGACATGTCCTTCTTCAAACGAGGCTTGTTGAGAGTATTAAGCGGTAGGCAGAGGCTTGGCTCTGCCCCTGGCATTGCTGAAGTCCATGGGCGACGGTAACCACTCACCATCAGGTAGGCCGAATGCTCGTCTGCCTACAAGGGCAATAAAAAAAAAGTCTCGAGTACCAGACTCGAAGTGGAGCCGCTCCATTGAAACCAGTCAGGATATTGACGCAGTTAGTGATAATTGGATACAGCTTTAAAGCTCGCGGTTCCAGGTTCCCTAGGGCCGGCACGCCCAACGCCAGGTCCACACTCAAACTGGTCACCTTCGAGCTGCAGAAGGCTTCGCCGACCACCGTCCTCGACTACTACCAAGAAGGGAGCCCTGATGTGGCGCGTGAGTGACTTCCTTCAGCCAATGCCTAGATGGTCCTTTGAGCTCATCTCAAAAATACTCTGAATTCGTCGTGGCCCAAAGGATAACACGTCCGGTGCATTCGTGTGTAGCGATGCAACGGTGTTCGAATCCCGCAGGCGGTTACCAATTTTTCTAATGAGATACACGTACTCAACAAATGTTCACAATTGACTTGTGACCACGGTGAAGGAATAACATCGTGTAGTAAAAATCAAATACCCGCAAAATTATAATTTGCGTAATTACTGGTGGTAGGACCTCTTGTGAGTCCGCGCGGGTAGGTACCACCGCCCTGCCTATTTCTGCCGTGAAGCAGTAATGCGTTTCGATTTGAAGGTCGGGGCAGCCGTTGTAACTATACTGAGACCTTAGAACTTGTATCTCAAGGTGGGTGGCGCATTTACGTTGTAGATGTCTATGGGCTCCAGTAACCACTTAACACCAGGTGGTCCGTGAGCTCGTCCGCCCATCTAAGCAATAAATAAAAAACTGGTGACAATACATACTTTGCCAGATGACCATGTAGTCTTTAGTTTAATTTGCAATACATTGCTGGTTTTATTGGCGATACGGCGTCGTGTAAGCCCGCACGGTTAGGAACCACCACTCCGCCTATCTCTGCCACTATGCATTAGTACGATCCGTCTTGAAGGGTGAGGCAGCCGCTGTACTGTCGACCTGAGACTTAGAACATTTGGCGTATTGCTAATTTATTTATTTATTTCACTGCATGTAAACTTTACATTGGCGGACTTAATGCCTAAGGCATTCTGTACCAGTCAACCAAAGGTAGTGCAGAGTAAATAGTGAAATTTATATTAAGCTACAAATACACACACAAAAATTATATACATACATACTAGCGTAGTACTACTACTACTATTTTATTATTGGTAGCGGAGTCCCGCGATGTTACCCGCGGATATTTTCGTACCGCGGGTGACGCCGCGGGGCGAAGCTAGTCTTAAAAAAAGTAGCCTAAGTTACTCCTTATATCATCAGCTACCTATCAGTGAAAGTCTTGTCAAAATCGGTCCAGCCGTTCCAGAGATTAGCCGGAACAAACAAACAGACAGACAAAAATTGTAAAAAATGTTATTTTGGTGTATGTACCGTATTATATTCATATGCATGTAGTAAAAAGCGGTTATTTCAATACTACAAACAGACAATCCGATTTTATTTATATGTATAGATATACACAATCACATATACATATACACACACACACATACATACATACATACATATTTATATACATTTTAGCTAATTAGGCCACGAAAACTTTTAAATTAATGGTTTCTACTGTTTTGTTACACGTGTTGATAGCTTTTGATCTGTACAGCATCCGATCCGTCCAATGAGTCTATGGAGGTGATAAACATCAGGTGGTTGGAGTTGAGGCATTCGCTTAAGGAGGTGTTCCCTTGGTTCGAGTACTTGGCCAGGGTCGAGTGGACGCCCTGCGGGAATTAGTGAGTGCATCATATACTTGATTTGGAGGTACAGGCTGGAGGGGCGGAACTATACTGGTATTCATGGTCTTTTGGCGGAAATGTGAGGAGTGAATTCGTATGAATTGTTTTATTTAGTTAACTAGCTGACCAGACTTTGTAGTGCCTAAATCGATAAAAAAAAGTTGATCTCGTTTCCCTGTATATCACTTTTCATGTCACACAGTGGTGGCGTCTAGGGCTTTTCCAAAAAGCTATACAACATGAGGTCTAAGTGTCAGGTTCATCAAACCGGAGCCTCGTTACTACTTAGCAGCGGATGTAGCCAAGATGCTGTTACTAAAGCAACTGGGTCCCTAAGAACTTGGCCTCTGATACCCCAATTTCGGTTCCAGCGTTTGGGTCCAATTACTGGACAGGAAGCAGCAGAGGCTGGAGTTAGTTCTGATACCGGTCGAAGAGTTTAGCACCCGAAGCGTCTATGACCACGCGCCCCATCAGCTCACTTCGGCAGCCCACGCCGATCCCCCCCGCGATAGGACCAAGGTAAGGGATGGCAGCTCGAGGTCTTGCGGTCAAGAAGCTTAGAACCAGGAATTGCTTGGAGTGCTTCTGTTACTGACCAGCTCCCACTACCCCTGATGGTTAGAACGGTCAAGTCTTTTAAGTTTAAAAAAAAGTTGTGTGGTGTCGTGGGACACCGGGTAGGAACGAAGTTCCTTATTATAAAAATATTAATTTTAAGTTCTATTCGAGGTATAAAGAAAATAATTATTCGGGTATACATTTTTTATTATTATTTTTTTTATGATAAAAAAAAACTACTTTACAAAGTTATCAACTTTATTTTATTCACAATGATTTATAAAAAACATATAATAATAATATACAAAGAAACAGCTATTTATATGAATAATAATAATAACCGTCATCACGAAGACTATACATAAATAATAAAAATCTTACGTTACGGACGTTTTTTCCCAGTTAGGGTACCCCTTCGCATCGCCCTATAAAAAAATACAGGAATGCAGCTAAAACAACCGTCAGGATTGGGAATTCGATAGAGACTAATTCACTGGTGTGAGCCCGATGTAGGTGTATCATTGAAAGCATTGGGCTAGCCTGCAAGAATAAGTACAACGGGGTGCTATGACACGGCCTGTCTTAAATATGTGCTGATGGATGGATCACCTGATCCATTCTTGGTGCTGCTGGAGTTGCCGTAGCACAGGTCTCTGTACTGTCAATGAGCCTCCAGCATCAGCTCGCTGAGGTTCTAGCTAGATCTCCTCAGCAGTTCGCGTGTCCAATCATGTAGCTGCCAGCGAATCTTTCGCCTGGCTGATCAGTGCTCGTCCATCCATTCTGGTGATGCTGGAAACCTCACAGCGCTAGCTTCGGCACCCCTATATAAACCATGTCCATGACCAGAGATGTAGACGTTCCACCCGGCTCTGGGCACTCCCGTGGTATGACAGCGCCGTGATATGGAGTTTTTCCCGTCCCGTATTGTCAGTGGCATAAAAATGTTACCCATCTGTCTTGGAATCTCCTTTGACGTCTGCGACAGACACGAGATAAGATTAGACAAAAGGTCCTTGCAGATTCTGTCGCCATCAAGAGATTTCAAAGATGAATGTCACTTTCGTTTTCAGATCGAGAGGAACATTCAGGTGCTGATATCGGAGACGGCGCCCGAGTCGTGGGTGAATGTTCACGACCTCCTGTACTTCCTGCCGTCGGCGGCGGACTGCGTCACCTTCATATGGGCTTCGGAGGAAACCGGCCACATGCACCTCTACCTGGTGACCTGCGGACTGGAGCTCGCCAACAAGCCGGCGTGTGAGTATTCTGAGTATGGCATGGTAGATAAACAGGAGTTTCCAACGTGGTGTCCCTCACGGCCTGTCTGGCTTTAAGTGGTCGTTGATGTCCATAGACAGTGTGGCGGGTAGCCATCATAGAACACAAGATATTTGACAGATCAAGATAACCTCGCATGTATTCGAGTTCCGAACAGCAACGTTCAGACGTCGTCTTTTTATTTTGTGTTTATTTTTATTGCTTAGATGGATGGACGAACTCACAGCCTACCAGATGTTAAGTGGTGACTGGAGCCCATAGACATCTACAACGTAAATGCGCCACCCACCTTGAGATATAAGTTCTAAGATCTCAGTATAGTTACAACGGCTGCCACACCCTTCAAACCGAAACGCATTACTGCTTCACGGCAGAAATAGGCAGGGTGGTGGTACCTATCCGCGCGGACTGACAAGAGGTCCTACCACCAATCTGCCGAGCAATATCACTCGCTCGGTGGAAGATCTTCCCTTTGTCGTATATCTTCACAGACAGCACATCCCGCTAAGTTTAAAAGATCGTAACTTCTATTGTGTTCTCTAAGCACCCCACTCTTAAAACCGGAAGGCGTTACTTTTTCGTTCGGGCAATACGAGTCTTCGGTTTTTAGATGTTTTCTGCGTACAATATGCATGTTTTTCCGTCAGCGGTTTTGGAGATGCTGACGGATAACGACTCCAACGCGTCGGGGCCCAACATCATCAGCAAGGAGCCGATCACGGCGGGAGACTGGGAAGTCCTCGGCCGGAAGATCTGGGTAAGCGCACCGACTATTCTCGGAGAGAGCCTTGAGGTTTTGACGTCATGTGTGTTGGTGATGACGTTTGCGACTTCTATGGATTCCGGTACTCAATTAGTCAATACAGCACAACGTCTGACCCACCATTCAAATCGGAACACGTTACTACTTTGCGATAGGAATAGGCAGGGGTGGTTGTACCTACCCTACATGTATGAAAATCCTACTATTCATCCCTCATGCAAAGATTCTTGCAAATTTACACCAACATAACGGTTAATTAATGGATCTTTGGCGACACCAGGTGGACGAGGCCCGAAACCTGGTTTACTTCGTAGGGCTCCGCGAGACGCCACTGGAGCGCCACCTGTACGCTGCCCCGCTGTCACCGCCGCGACCTCACGCCGTGACCCTGCTCACTACCGTGGGTCATTCGTGCACCGTCGATATTGACGAGGTACGTACTGTAATTGATGACGGATGTAGTCCACGGGCTCCAGTTCTAAAATTGCATGAATTCTGTAACCGAACAGGAATGCACGACTGCCGTTATCACGAGATCGAACGTAAGCACCGTGCCGACGACGAGAGTGTATCGTATAGTGCACGACAACGGACCCCGCTTACACTCGCAGGGGATACTGATGGACCACTGTGCTAACGGTGAGTTTGCGATTGTTAAAACATATATTAGCACTCCACATGTCCGCTCTCGACCCGCCTCGCGTAATGTAGTTGCACTTACTAAGAGTCCATAGACATCACGTTGCGTGTACCGCCCACCTTGAGACATGAGACGAATCGGAGCACACGACTGCTTCGAACCTAACCAGGCCTTGTAAACACTGCACGACAACAAGCTCCAGGGTTTGTTGGGTGCTAGAAATGGGACATATGTGGCATCATCGACACTAGCAAAATGCTGATTCTGACACTAAATATCTAAATATGGGAGGATCTTTGGATGAGGCTCTGTCCCTCTAAAGCTGCTAAGGATTCCTCAGACCCTGGCGGGAGTCTCAGGACATCTGATGAAATGTTATTCACGAAATTTATAACTTTGTCCCAATGTTAGAGGTCATAAGACGTGTTGTTAACTCGCACGGATCAGACCTACAGTTCCGTCTACTGTTGTCGCGCAGATAAATACCGCCGACTTAACGGGAAAAATGTGATACAATGCGAGTCTTGAGGCAAGTTTTGAGACTTTATCGGGTCTCAAGATTCGTGAGACTGTTTTTTTATTTTTTATTTATTTTATTGCGAAATTGGTTGTACGAGCTCACGGCTCGTGCAGTGTTGAGTGGTTACTGGAGCCCACGGTCATCACAACGCCAATAACCCTTTGGGACACGAGATCATTTAAATTGTTATTAATGTAATGTTTGAATCGGTTGTGTTTGTCGCTAACTGCGCGTTGTGTCGGTGTGTCGTGGTCGCTTCGCTCAGAACCGGGAGGTCGCGGGTTCAACGGCGGCTGGGACCGGACGGTCGACGACGACGGTGACGTCACCTTGCTAGTCAAAGGTGAGTCGGGGTATTGGGTCCAGAGGGGCCGCCACTGGACGGACACTACAACACGTGGATGATAGGAGTCCACAGCCATCAATATGTCCAATAATATGCTAGCTAGTAGTAGTATAGTAGCTAGTAGGTGAGCTCACGGGGCCCCAACTTGGCGACGTTGCTAACAATAACCCTAGCAAGAGCAGTTCTTCGCAGAATCTACCACCGGATCGGAAACGCGACCCACTGAGAAGATCCGACGAGGAACTCAGTGGGCTGTTTCTTTGGGTTGGGTTGCGCGGTGCTCGGAGTGCCTATATGAGCCGAAGGTGGATCTGGAAAATCAGATCCGACAGGTGCAGAAGTCATGAACGACTTCCATGTTGAGGGTGCGGGCACAATGCACCAGGATCCTGATCAGATATAATTATCTATACTAATATTATAAAGAGGAAAGATTTGTTTGTTTGTTTGTTTGTATTGAATAGGCTCCGTAACTACTGAACCGATTTGAAATTCTTTCACATTTTGGAAGCTACACTATTCCCGAGTGACATAGACTATAATCTTTTTTGAAAAAAATTAGGGATCCTTACTAAAACTTCTATAATGTAACCCAAGGTGTAAAAAAATTACCAAAAAAATATTCTTTACATCGCGTGCCCTGCGAAAACTATTGATGATAGAATAAAATAATGTACAATGATTTTATAGAACACATTATTATTTACAAAACAAGTGTCGTGACATCATTAGTCTAACTATTATAGTTGTGCCGTTATAAGTGTTCTTTTATTTAAAAAAAATTAAATAAAGTCAAATATCATTGAAATTTTCGATTAAAACCCGATCGGGCCGCTAATAAAGTATAAAGGCAACAATTGGGGACGGTTTGAAGAGCTGATGTAAGAGTCCTTATCCATACTTCGAGAGGGTCCTTACTTCTCGTTACAACAATAACATTGTAACTGGTGGTAGGACCTCTTGTGAGTCCGCACGGTTAGGTACCACCACCCTGCCTATTTCTGCCGTGAAGCAGCAATGCGTTTCGGTTTGAAGGGTGGGGCAGCCGTTGTAGCTATACTGAGATCTTAGAACTTATATCTCAAGGTGGGTGGCGCATTTACGTTGTAGATGTCTATGGGCTCCAGTAACCACTTAACACTATGTGGGCTGTGAGCTCGTCCACCCATCTAAGCAATAAAAAAATAATAACAGAGGGTAACTTTTTTTTGTTTGCCAGAAAGCTGCCTCCGCACCCTGGACATTCCGCCGGCGCAGATACTGGAGACGACCCTCTCGTGCGGGCTGACGGCGTACTGTACTCTGTGGCGCTCAGGCCGCGCGGGCCGGAGCCCCACCGTGCTGCACGTGTACGGGGGCCCCGAGGTGCAGACCGTCACCAACAGCTACAAGGTACGGTCCGGTCAGTGCTTATAGAAACACTAGGGATCCTTTTTTTTTTGAAGTGAAACTTCTTTATACGCGTCGAGAGTAAAATTGAAGTCGCGACAGATTCGTGGATGCTTTTTTGAAGGGAAACTTCTTTAGACGCGTCGAGAGTAAAATTGAAGTAGTGACAGATTCGTGGATGCTTTTTTGAAGTGAAACTTCTTTAGACGCGTCGAGAGTAAAATTGAAGTCGCGACAGATTCGTGGATGCTTTTTTGAAGTGAAACTTCTTTAGACGCGTTGAGAGTAAAATGTAACTGGCGAGATATTAGTGGATCCTTTTTTTGAAGTGAAACTTCTTTGGGCGTGTTGAGAGTAAAATTTTACTCGCGACAGATTCGTGGATCCTTTTTTTGAAGTGAAACTTCTTTAGGCGCGTTGAGAGTAAAATGTAACTCGCGACAGATTCGTGGATCCTTGTTTTGAAGTGAAACTTCTTTAGGCGCGTTGAGTGTAAAATGTAACTGGCGAGAGATTTGTGGATCCTTTTTTTTAAGTGAAACTGCTTTGGGCGTGTTGAGAGTAAAATTTTACTCGCGACAGATTCGTTACGGCTAGAGAGAAAAGATACAATTTAGGAAGAGAGAGAGTGAGGGAATAGACAGAGCGTCTCGCGAATCACTCGAACGTGGAGAGAGAGATAGAAAGCGAGCTAGGTCGTTTCTCTTATACAAAGCATTCCCTATTACAAGAGATTTGATTTAAAGATGAAAAATGAAGAAAACCACAATACTACTACATACCGCAAAAGAAGTTTCACTTCATTCACGTGCATCAAGTTGCATGCGTACCACATTTTGGTTTACGTATGGCAATTGGCTTCTAGCGACGCCATTGTTGCCAGAGTCGAGTTAATAAAAATGTTTAATTACTAAATACATATTGAGAGGTTTTTTGTTTTAAGCGAGATTTTTACAAATTCACAGGAGAGCCATTTAAATTTTATAATTTGAATAAAATGTACCCGTGGAAGACGTGATATAAGCCCTTGTATGACATCTTACTACCAAATGAAAACTGTTGTCTGGAAGAGATCTTAACGATAAGACTTTTCTCTTTGGCAATACCTGCCTAAATCTGTTGATTAGTTTTCAATGTTAAATATTCTTGCATTATCTGTCACTCATTCATTGACTCACCCACGCTCAGTCATTTACTCATTCCTCACGCACTCCTTCACTCACTCACTCCCTCACTAATTCACTCACTCACACACACTCTGTCACTCCTTCCTCGTTGTCTGTTTGTTGATTATAATTTTCTATGAACATCGTTGTTGCACATGACATAGCATGTAATAGTTTCTTCTTTCACTCTTAAATTTTAATTTTCTGAATCCTGTCCCCCAGGACACAATCCTGCCTATTTCTGCCGCGAAACTTAGGCTTTTGTGGTATTCCCGGTGCCATGTCTACGGGCGCCGGTAACCACTTGATGCCCGGGGGCCGCGAGCCCGTGCCTCGTAACGAACAAGTCATTCGCCCGTCACAGGGTATAAGGCAGCTCCGCATGCACATGCTAGCGGCGCGCGGCTTCAACGTGGTGTCTGTGGACTCGCGGGGCTCCAAGCACCGGGGCCGCGCCTGGGAGGCCGCCATCAAGGGCAAGATGGGTCAAGTGGAGCTGGACGACCAGGTGAGAGAGAGCCAAGTCGAGTTAGACAGGGTCACTAGCGACAAATATCGGTCATCGATTATTAGACTCGTCTTTTTTTTATGATATAAATAGTTGGACGACCTGACAGCCACCTGGCGGTTAAGTGGTTACCGGAGCCCATGGACATCTGCAACGTAAATACCGCCAGCCACCTTGAGATATGAGTTCTAAGGTCTCAGTATAGTTACAACGGCTGCCCCGCCCTTAAAACCGAAACGCGTTACTGATCCTCGGCAGAAATAGGCGGGGTGGTGGTACCTAGTCGCGCGGACTCACAAGAGATCCTGTGGCAGTCTCCTTCTGCTTGCATATCCTCTCATCATGCTGGATAGTTTTGCAACCTCCTTTCAGGCTATATCCTCAGTAGAATATCCATTGCAATTGACAATAAAACATTTCGTCCATATAGCGTGTTCAAAATTTACAACTCAAGATTGTAAATAAAGGGTGTTTTTTTTTGTAATAAACTAACGACCCACCCTCGCTTCGCTTTGGAAACTGTAATTTATTATTGATTTCTCCACTATTTAATGTATATTATTAATCATATAAGCCTTCTTCTTCAATCACTCTATCTATTAAAAAAAACCGCATCAAAATCCGTTGCGTAGTTTTAAAGATTTAAGCATATATAGGGACAGAGAAAGTGACTTTGCTTTATACTATATAGTTATATCAAACCTAGGTCGAAGTTCTGCAGTGGCTGGCTAAGGAAACCGGCTGCATAGATATGGAGAGGGTGGCCATCCACGGGTGGAGCTATGGTGAGTACGCTACGTGAATGTTTTCAATAAGCCTCCGGCGGTTAATCATATATATACAGGGTGTTCCAGAAAGAATGGATAATCCTGAAACACCTCATAGTAGAGCTATTGGGGACACAAAATCTACATATATAAAAATTAATTGCTGTTCGTTAGTCTCGCTAAAACTCGAGAACGGCTGAACCGATTTGGCTAATATTGGTCTTGAATTATTTGTGGAAGTCCAGAGAAGGTTTAAAAGGTAGATAATTATGAAAATGTTTGTTTTAAGTCTATTCTATAGAAAAGTTTAGGTCTTTTATTTATCGATTGAGGTACTAAGTCTGCCGGGTAAGCTAGTAAAAAATAAAATAAAAAATCTCAGGTAGTACCCAAATTACGTATTTTAAAAAAAAGTTGATATTTTCCATACTGCTGTGCGTTTCTGGAATATACAACAGCTACAAATAAATGAAATTCATAGGCTTTTTGGTGTTATAATATTCTACATGGACTATACTAAGGAATATGCAAGAAATCCTATGAGTAGCTAGTGTAATTTTTTATAAAAGTTAATCTAACCTTAAATTTTAATCATGAAATTTGGTATTTTTTCTTTGTTTTTAATTTTGGTACTAACAAAGAAAAAAAAAATTTTATATATATTTTTGTGTCCCCAATAGCTCTACTATGAGGTGTTTCAGAATTATCCATTCTTTCTGGGACACCCTGTATACTGGGTATTAAGAGACCGCTTCCGAAAACGAAAATTTTGCACCTACAAAGTTGTAAGTTTTGTGGAGCGCGGTATCAGCGCCGCGCCCGGGCGTTCGTTGACCCGAGCATCAGCTGTTTTTGATTTGTGTTTCATTGCTGTTTTTTTTTAAGTAAAGTAATTATTTATTTTTATGAAACTATAGGTTCATTGAGCCATACTAACATAATGGAGCGTAAAGAATGCTAATAAAACGTTTTAAAATATGATTTCTTTTTTAAAATCATTATCGATTTTTTTCCGTCCCATTATTATCAAAGGTGTCTTTAGTACTATCGTCTGTCTTCGTTTTCGGAAGCGGTCTCCTAACACCCAGTATATCTGTGTGACGGAATCTTTTAACTTTGTCATGGTCAAAAATTTGACCATTTGAAGACGTCCAATGGAAATTTGGACCGGTGTCTATATTTTGTGTGGCGATGACGGTACAATAGTTTTTATCGCCTTATCTTGATGTCCTTAGCAAGTGCGTGGCGTTCAAACATAGATCTATTCCTGCAGTCGGTGGACGAGATGACGCCTCGCTCTGTGCTTAAATGATTATCAGAGCCATTAGGTGTCGCCAAGGGAATATCGCACTTCCAGACACTAGGCGTAAGTCTGACTTTTGCAGAAGCTGTTCCGTGTCTTGTTAAGAAAGTCTCTTGCTAAGGTTTACTTGTGGTAGGGGGTATGATGACCCCCCCCCCCCAGCCCGATATTGTCTTTGACGGGGTTCTGGATCGGGTGTCGGGTGAGACTGCATGGGAGTGGTCCAGTATGTGGCCCTTTATCATCTTCAGCTATCGAGTTTGATATACCTCCACGCTTTTTACGCGTGGGAACATTGTAGGAGATTTGGCCTCCGCACCGCTGACTGTCAACATCTTGCCTCTATCTGCCCCTAACTTCTAATAATGCATTGTCTTTAGTACACCGCAATCATACCTGCTATATTTTTTATATTTTCCAGAATTTCTGTAAATTAAACGGTTGTCTGGAAGAGATCCCTTTTAGCGATAAGACCGCCTACTGTACAAATGTCAATCTGCTTTTTGACTGTTTTTTGAATGTAAATGGTGTTTTGGTGTTCAATAAAGTGTCTCTCTCTTTCTCCAACTCCGACCTCGTGTCTAAAACTGGGCAGTGGCTGGAAAGCTATGAACGCCCTCGGTCCCCCGTTGCAGGAGGCTACCTGTCCCTCCTCGCACTGGCCACGCGGCCGAACATCTAATTCCGACCTCATGTCTTAAGCTGGGCAGTGGTTGGAAAGCTATGAACGCCCCCCCTGTCCCCCGTTGCAGGAGGCTACCTGTCCCTCCTCGCGCTGGCCACGCGGCCCAACATCTTCAAGGTATGCGTTGCCGGAGCGCCGGTGACGTGTTGGCGGCTTTACGATACGGCTTACACCGAGCGGTACATGGGCATCCCGGCGCGCGCTCCCCACGCCTACACCCGGGCCAGCGTGCTCGCCCACGCACCCTTCTTCCCGGACCAGTGAGTAGTTTTTTTTTAAGGGATTTTATAACCTGGTAACTGAGACCTTTAAGTCATGTCTTATTTTAATTTATATTCATATTTTTATGAAAAATGATATTATGGAGTGAAATGAAATGAAGATGATTAATTTGAGACATTAATCAACTGGGATGAAATTAAATGAAATGAAATGAGATGATATGGGATGAAATATAATCTCAGTAAAATGGTGGTCATTTACTAAGATTTTATTAGTGGACTTTTTGGAGGATCCCGAGAAATTACGTCCAGCGGCTTTGTTTCATTTTCCCACATTTGTGCACTTTCACAGATACTAAACAGTTAATAAACCCCCGTTATTACACATTTAAACCCGAAGAAACACTAAATAGACAAAATAAAAGAAATCACACAACTTCACTCCTCGCGTTCCCGCCAAAAAGTACCACCAGTGAGTAGTAGCGGCGTCGCGTGACGTCACACGAGACGTTACGCAACAGTAACGCGATACAGGATTTTACTGGTGTTAGGACCTTTTGTGAGTCCGCGCGGGTAGGTACCACCGCCCCGCCTATATCTGCCGTGAAGCAGTCGGTTTGAAGGGCGGGGCAGCCGTTGTAACTATACTGAGACCTTAGAACTTATATCTCAAGATGGGTGCCGCGTTTACGTTGTAGATGTCTATGGGTTCCAGTAACCACTGAACACCAGGTGGGCTGTGAGCTCGTCCACCCATGTAAGCAATAAAACTTGTTTCTGAGATATTAGTATATTATAAGTTAACGCAAGTGAAGCCGCATGTCAAAGCTAGGTGTGTGTCAGACGCCCCCTCCCGCCCCCCTCGAGAGAAAAGGCACTCTCTTGCGATATCTGTTGATGCAAATAATCAGCAGACAGTGTCTGCTTGCAAGGGTAATAACAAACCCTAGGCAGACAGGAAAACACGCGCCACCTGATGGTGAGTGATTACCGTCGCCCATGGACATCAGCAATGCCAAGCGTAGAACCACGGCGTTCGAAAGCCTCGTTTGATGATGGACATATCTTAGCGATTTGGGAATACTTTGGTGGTAGTACATCCCAGAGTTGCATGGTGGAAAGACCTCTGGGGGACTGCGGCTGAACGCAATGGTTATAGGTAGTATGGATGGCGAGTGAGGTGATGGTAAAAATGTTGAGCTCATCTCAAATAATGCACTCAGAGCCCTCCCCGTGGAGCGATACGGTATAATTTCGCACGTAATTGTCGTGTTACTTCGGAAGAGCGTACTGACATGTCCCGGTCTGCGCAGGGAGGGGCGACTCCTCATCATCCACGGGCTGGCCGACGAGAACGTCCACTTCTGCCACACAGCGGCACTGCTCGCCGAGCTGGTGAGGCTGGGGAAGCCGCATCGCGTGCAGGTGACCAGACAAATTCTCTTAAGGCCCCCCGCCTCCTCCCCCCTCATGAGACGGGGGGCCGTCGCGGGAGTGGGGGAACCGGTGGCTCAATCGTCCTATTTCTACCGCGGAGTAGTGGTGCGGCCTGAAGAGTGTCATAGACCTCATGTTGAGTGATGTTGGCGCGGTGATATCTATGAACTCACACAGTCATAATTTCTTACTGGTGGTAGGACGTCTTGTGAGTCCGCACGGGTAGGTACCACCGCCCTGCCTATTTCTGCCGTAAAGCGTTTCGGTTTGAAGGGCGGGGCAGCCGTCGTAACTATACTGAGACCTTAGAACTGATGTCTCAAGGTGGGTGGCGCATTTACGTCATAGATGTCTATGGGCTCTGGTAACCACTTAAAAGCACTGTAACAGGCTGTGAGCTTGTCCATTCATTTAAGCAATAAAAAAATTGTTGTTGTTGCCCATGGACATCACCGATACGATTGGCACAGCTGGACTTCGTTCAATTCTTCGCATTTCAAATACAATGTGTGTCAGTATTGTCGCTTCAAGGACGCGTTGATCTCATCAGTGACATAGGGGGATCAGTCCAGTTAAAGTTAGAGTGATGTCCGCGGACAGGTGTACCCGGGCGAGAGGCACTCGCTGCGGGCCATGCACGCCGCCAAGCACTACGAGGCCACGCTGCTGCACTTCCTGCACGAAAACCTGTGAGGGGGACGTCCAGGGGACCGGCGGGGGGCTCGCGAGGGACGCCCCGAGGACCGGCGGGGGGCTCGCGGGGGGACACGCAACTTGGACAAATTACATATTCCTCAGTCTCCGCGCACAGTCCTAATGTTAAGAAGCCGTATGTATATATTTACCACCACCTCAGCCAGCGATAATTACCCGACTTCTTCGAAATATCCATACTTTCACTACAGTTTAGTTTGTAAACATAAAAAAAAGCAATATAAAGTATGTATATGTTAGTTTAAACATTAAAAAAAAAACTGACAATTTACTTTAGTCTTTTTTGTTTGTCACGTTGACCAAAATAAACAAGAATCATAGATTGGGGGAGGGGGGTTTAGGCTTAGAGGGACAAATCTGGGTTGTCACAATGCTTAATTGAGGCCATCAGCGCAAAAGTGGCGTAGCCCACATATTTTTTTTATATTCAAGCTTATATGATGTGTATTGGAATTTATTTAAAATATAATAAATTTTGATGCAAAAACCGGCCTGCCTATCCATAGTTTCACCCATAGACAACAGATGCCTTTGTAAAACATTATTTTTGCGCGTATTGTTTTTTTGCCTACTTAAATTCAAATTCATGAAAATTCAAACCTAATTGCCTCCATACTAACTAGCTTAGGCCACTTTTGCGCTGACGGCCTCAATTGTGAGATTTAAATTTGTCGAATTGAAAATGACTTTAATTTAGTGTTTATGAACATTAAATAGTTTAATTTAGTCATCAGAGTTTTGTAACGGATTAAATATATTGAAAAGTTTATTAAATTAAGGTAAATACCTACCTAACAACCAAACAGTGCCAGCCCTATCGAAAAACTCTATTGTCCCCATGCGTGACCCGATTCACCCTAAAAGCCAAGGTGGATCAAGTCAAGCTAGGTTTTTAAGTTTTTGTTTAAATTTTTTGTCAATGAACTATGTATAATATAATTTTATTGGTAAATTACCCTAAGAAAGTAAGGCGTTTCGGTTTGAAGGGTGGGGCAGCCGTTGTATATAACTATACTGAGACCTTAGAACTTATATCTCAAGGTGTGTGGCGCATTTACGTTGTAGATGTCTATGGGTTCCAGTAACCACTGAACACCAGGTGGGCTGTGAGCTCGTCCACCTTTCTAAGCAATATAAAAAAAAACGCTGAAGATTTGTATTGGAATTGGGAAGCGTCCCGATTCCCCCCAATCTACTGAATGGAAATGTAATGAATTTAATGCAATTTGAGGCAGGTCAGTTAGCGGTATCGCTTAGAAGTCCGAACTGCTTAATATGTTCTCAGAGGTAGTTTGACAGAGAGTGAGGAAGAGGGACATTGAGGCAGAGGGAGAGTGGAAGAGAGAGACAAAGAGAGGGAGAGAGTGGAATAGAGAGACAGAGAGAGAGTGGAAGAGAGAGAGACAGATAGAGAGTGGAAGAGAGAGAATGAAAGAGAGAGAGAGAGACAGAGTGGAAGAGAGAAACAGAGGGAGAGAAAGTTCGTGTCAGAGAGTGAGAGGTGTGTGTGAGAGAGAGAGACTACCTCCGTCCCTCTGTCTACTACCTTGCCTGACTCTTCGCTTCTTCGCACTGTGAGAAGAAAGCGAGCCCTTTATATCGCTAAGTTATCATTAATTAGAAGTAAACGCCGACATAAAATATAACGTAAAAAAAACAAGTGTGGTTTAGATCACACAACTGAAGTACAACTTTTTTTTTTTATATTTTATTTTATTTTTATATATTTTTTTTTTAAATATTTTAAATAGTATTAATATATTATACAAATTTGAACTTTCTTTTTACTGAATATCCTGGACTTGACACTCAATGACACTTGAAGAAATATCCTTTTTTTAAAACTAGAAGAATTTTAAATATTTATGTTTATAATATATGAATATATATAAATTTTAGACGAATAATTAAAATTATAGGTTTTCATACATAATATAATTTTTTGTGTAGATTTTCTATTTTTATTATATATGTAATAAAATCACACGCACACTGCTCTCTCTCGCTCCTACAGTGTGATATACAGACAATATACCTGCACTGTCTTAGATATACGAAACGTAATAGGCTATGAGAGAGAGAGAGAGAAAGAAAATGGGTGCTCTCATCTCTCTCTATTTTCACTAATTTGTATCTCCCTCTCAACTTCCGTTCTGCTCGTCCGATCACACTTTTCGTAAAGCTCACTCATTCGTCATTCAGGTCACTCATTCATTCATTCACTCATTCACCAGTTTACTCACCAAAGTCAAGCGAAGAAGTTTTGACATTTTGGCGGGAACACGAGGAGTGAATTTGTGTGATTTGTTTTATTTTGTCTACTTAGTGTTTCTTCAGGTTTAAATGTGTAGTAACGGTGGCTTATTAACTGTTTAATATCTGTGAAAGTGCACAAATGTGGGATAATGAAACAAAGCCGCTGGACTTACTTCTCGGGATCCTCCAAAAAGGCAATTAAAAAATCTCCGTAAATGACCGCCATTTTACTGAGATTATATTTCATCCCATTTCATTTAATTTCACTCCATATTATCGTTTTTCATAAAAATTAAAATTAAAATTAAAATAAGACTTGACCTAAAGGTCTTTGTTACCAGGTCATAAAATCCCTTAAAAACAGAAGTTTTACTTTAAAAAAAATATTTTACATTATAGTATATAAAGGCGTTTACGTTTTTATGTATTACAAATTTTCATAATATTCAAATGTGCTGGACCCAACAAACTCTTCAAAGGAATTTCGTAGTTTCTCTCTGGGAATTTGATTATTTTTCTTTGGTAAAAAATTGTCCAAAATTTGAATAAAATATAAGTCTGTCTGTGTATAAAACCATTCTAGAACGCGAAACGGCAACTTCTAAGACCTTTATTATATTTGAAAACACATCTAACAAAGGAATTTATAGATGAATTAATATGAAATGATTTTTGTTTGTCGTAAAAAACAAAAATGTCCTATGTACAATAAATAATGCGTAAGAATTGCTTAATATGTTGTATAAGTTAGAGAGGTTTTACAAACTGTTTCCCAAGGAGTCCGCATCCGCTTTCGTACGGACGGCAGCCTTTTCAATTTGGCTAGACTTAAGGCTCGCACCAAAGTGTCGTATGCATTGATCACTGAGATCATTTATGCTGATGACTTGTGCTTCTTAGCAGAATCCCCAGACGGCCTGCAACAGCTGATGTCCGTTTTTCACCAAGCCTGCCGTAAATTCGGCCTGAAGATTAGTGTCAATAAGACGGAGGTGATGTCCCTGGACAGTCACGGTCACGAGACACTAACCATAAAGCTTGGTGAGGATGTGTTGAAGCAGGTGGATAAATTTCGCTATCTGGGGAACACTTTAACATCCAAGTGTGACCTTGATGATGAGATCAATAGCAGGGTCGGTGCCGCTGCTGCAGCATTTGGAAAGCTATATTCCAAGGTCTTCTGCTCACACGACCTTAAGTTGGCCACTAAAATCTCAGTTTACATGGCAATTGTGCTGCCAAGCCTCCTATACTCCTCCGAGTCGTGGTGTGTGTACCGCCGCCACATTCGCACTCTGGATCGCTTCCACCTTAAATGCCTTCGTGCCATCATGAAAATCAGATGGTCTGATAGAGTGCGAAATACCGAAGTCTTGCGACGTGCCAATGTTGGTGGCATTGAGACCTATTTAATGCGTCGGCAGCTTCGATGGTGCGGTCATGTATCACGCATGACGGAGGAAAGAGTGGCGAAGCGCATCTTCTTCTCTGAATTGCAGGATGGCAAGCGAAAGCATGGCGGACAACTCCTGCGGTACAAGGATGTCGTGAAACGACACATGAAGAGATGTGATATAGAGCCCTCTCAATGGGAGCGCTTGGCAGCACAGCGGCCAGAATGGCGCAGGATGGTGAACAGCAAAGTACGCGAGTTCGAGGATCAGCGTAAAGCTGACCTTGATTACAAACGCGACCAGTTGAAGGTCCGCCCACCTGCTGCCATAACCTATAATTATGAGAACGGCGTGCTTACGTGCCCTCAATGCGCAAGGAGTTTTGCCGCGAAGATAGGCTATATAAGCCATCTTCGAGCGCACGAGCGCCAAATCGACGGATAGGAGTCAAAGTGGTCGCCATGGCCGAAATCGGTCGGATGAATCATCATCATCAACGTATTGTTATCGCGTGCCGAGATTGACTGTCATAATATCTAGTATGTTCAGTGATGTTTTTCTGTAAATTAATGTTACAAATTCTTCGCCTCAATCAATGTATTAAATGAAGTAATCCCTGTACAATATAAACTGTGATTCCGATCTTCTTTTTCGAGGGGAGCTAGTGTGGTGACACGTGTTGAGCTATTGAGCGAACATGAACCTATTAAATATATGTGTGAAAACCAATTTGAAGCCAGATTTGATAATAACTGTCGCCATCATGAAAGACCGCGTAAATATTTTTAGAACAGCGCCATCTGTTGGTGTGTGAAATTAACTTTGTTATTTACATAGAACGGTTCTAACTATAAACGAATCGTTTCGTGTTTTAACGCCATCTAGCGGTGAACTTAAGTCGCATTTTAAACTAATTTTATTACGAAAATTTGTTATTTAAAACATAATTGAAGTCGAGCCATCGCTGGGCGAAGTAGGTAATTTTGATAGTAAAATTTAAGATTAAACGCGGGGATTGAGTGAATTCCACTGACAGATTACGTCTATGTATGATAAAGCTAGAAACATTTTGATGGAATAAGTATAGTGGTGACGCCATCTAGCGGTGAACGCCGTCAAACCGTCTTCGTTCACAAATAAACCATTTGTTTGCGTATGTATTTATGCTGAATTTTTATCACATTTAGATACATGATTTGTAAAATAAACGTACTTTATTATGAAAAGATTTTCGTTGTTTTATTTACGTAATTAATAATAATATTTTTCTTCCTCGACTTGTGTCGGCTTTGATAAATATCCCGTCCCGTTTCCCACAGGAAAAAAAAAATCTATACCCCAAAATTTTAATGACATATTATGTGAAAAAATAAATAAATAAATTACTAAATGATAGAGAGAACAACACGTTGACCTACATGACGACCTGGGCCTCGAATCAATCCGGAAATACATGAAGTCAGCGTCGGAACGGTACTTCGATAAGATGCGCCATGATAATCGCCTTATCGTTGCCGCCGCTGACTACTCCCCGAATCCTGATCATGCAGGAGCCAGTCACCGTCGACGCCCTAGACACGTCCTTACGGATCCATCAGATCCAATAACTTTTGCATTAGACGCCTTCAGCTCTAACACTAGGAGCAGGCTTAGGGACTCCGGTAACTGTACTCGTCGAACTCGACAAAGAGTTCGGCGTGAAACGTAAGCATGCATCAGTCCGCTGAGTTTCTCGCCGGATCTTCTCAGCGGGT